ACGCAAGGGAAATTTGCCTGAGATTGGGAAGCCTGAGATGAAGCGGCAGCCATCATGCTTGGAAGTTCAGGGCGGTGTCCTGGCTGATCTGCTGGCTAGTCTTGTTTGCAAGGGGCAGCAGCGGGGTATGCAGCTCCTGCAGCTCCAGCCAGATCACCTCCTTCTGCTTCAACTAGTCCCAGGCCAGGCACGTGTCCAGAGAAAAAGGCAACCCCCTCTCCGACAGGTCACCAGCACTGGAGTTAGATGCAGTGAAAGGCAGATCCAGGCTCCACTTTGAGCCCACGTGTTCCACTTGTCCGCCTTCTGCTGCTTCACATCCAGCTTTTCTTCCCAACTTCCTGCCCTGCTAACCTACAGCAACTCCAGGCTGCCACCAGACAGCTCCACTCCGTGGCCCCTGGTTGGTGGCTTTTCTCTGATGCTCTAACCAATCTCCTTCCAGAACTGTACTTCCTTAGCTCTGGCACCACCGTGTGAAGTCTAATCCTTACACCAAATCCCTCATTCCATACCACTCACTGCTGTTCTGCTTCCCAGGCTGAGCTCTCACCAGTGCCCTCCTGCAGAGAATGATGACGGGCACAGAATGACAAATGAGCCACATAAGCCCTACCCCAAATCTCAGCTTGTTAATTACTGAAGTCAAACCAAAATTCCCTCCAGAGCCCTGGCAGAAACCAAATCAACACCGGAACACACCCTGCTCCTGAGAGTTACCAAAAAAGTCTTCACATCTTTTATGCTCTCTGATCCAGCCATTCCACCCTTAAGAATTTACCTCAAGGAAAAAGTTATGACCGTAAAACACTTTGATAAAGCATTTGGGGAAACTTCCAAGGGACATATTTGAGTGAAAATAGATGGTCCCCACACTGCCGTGTCAAGACGGTTAGTTCTGCTGACTGCGTAACTTTTTGCTTTGCAGAGTGAATGTGCAGAGACGAAAAACTCTGAACTCTGGACTTTACAGAGGACACTTGGAAACTGTGCCTGGGGAAGGGAAAAAAAGAAAAGGCTATTGTCTGGAAAAGAGAACAGAGGGTCGGAAACACAAATAGCAAACGGCTAACGATCCTGAGTTTCTACTGTGATTCACCATGAAACATTTGTGTCTTATAATTTGCAGTGAGGCCGGCTGTATTTGGAGACAAGTCAAAAGCACTGAGTCCTGCTTCAAAATGCTCACAGGGCAAAAAACCAGAACAAAACAAAAATCGAGAGAGAAATATGGGAAACAGTCTAAATGTTGAGCAAGTGGGAATTATTTGAACAAATCATGTCATTTCCAAACAACAAAATACCAAGCCACCATTAAAAATTATATTGTTAAAGAACATTTAATAATATGAAAAAATATCCTAACTGGAGAGAGCATATTTCAAACAGAATGTAGACTATTAGCAAAGGAAAAAGACAAAGAGTAAACACCAAATGCTGGCAGCTATGGCAGATTAGGCTGATTTTTTATTTTCTTCCTTTTATTTACTTGTAATGTCTTAAATTTCTATCACAAATATGTATTAATATTTCTTTTGTAACAAAACAAGACCAGCAGCTGCATGCATATTTTGCCCTATCTGGAAGAGCTAAAATTAAACTTCTAAGTTTATGCCCTAAAGAAACTCACGTGCACGTAAGAATTATGCACTAGAATGTTTAATTCAGTATTGTGCCATTTTTATTGTTTGCTTGTTTTTGCTATGAAAATTTTTAAACGTATACAGAAGTTCACAGAGCAGTTTAATAAGTAAGCTCCTACGTTCCTGTCACTCAGCTTCAATGATAATCAATTTATGGCAATCTACTTTCATCTAAACCTCACCCACTCACTACCATTCTTGCATTATTTCAAAGCACACCCCAGACATCCTATCATCTCATCCATAAATACTTCAATATGTGTGTGTGTGTGTGTGTGTGTGTGTATACTCAAAACACTCACATGTATACATATCTCAAAAATAAATCTTTTTTAAAATAACCAAAAAATAATAATAATAATAATATTACATCTAAAACAAATAACAATCATTTCTTAATATTTTTAATTATCAGGTCAGAGTTCAAATTTTTAAATTATTTTCATAAATGAGATCATTCTTAAAACAATTGGGATTTTGAAAATGATTAGGATATGTAAAAATTATTGTTAAATTTTTTAGACATGATAATGATTTTGTTTTTTAAGTCTTATGCTGAAATACTTAGTGATAAAGTGATTTATTATCTGAGATTTGCTTCAAAAGGGAGTAACAGGGATACAAATGAAATAAGACGAGTCATGAGTTGCTCATTGTTGAAGCTGAGAGATGAGTACATGAGGGTTTTTAACACTATGCTCTCTGCTTTTTTTATATATTTAAAATGTTCCATAATAAAATTTTTAAAAAATCAGATCTATAGAGTATATTGTTTATGCATAGAAATATAGAAAGAACAAAAAAATAGAAAGGAAATATAAACACAAAATTAAGGATATGGTTACCTGGAGTGGGGAAGGCAGAGGGTTGTTGAGATATAAATTATTAGAAATATTCTAGCTCTTGCTTGCAAGTGACTTTTACGGGTTTTTTTAAATTAAAATACTGCATGATAGATAACAGAGGGTAGCCATTCACGTTCCATGCCAGTATTGTGGTGTCCCATACCAACGATTATAATTATTCCAATTCTGTGCACTTGAGAGTCAAAGGAAAAGAAAGAAAATTACATGGCGAACAGTGCACGCACACACACACACACACACACACACACACACAGAGCTTCAGAAGCAAGGCTTACCCCTGCTACACACAGCACTCTGACGTCTTCTATTCTCTTCCAGTTCACTTGATTAAAAATTCTAGTCAGGATTCAATAAACCAATTTCCTGGCCCTCGAGGACCCACACTGGACTGTGTGATGATTAGGGCCTCTTCAAATTGTCGCACTCTAAAAGGCTGGCGTGGGTTTAATCTATTCCAAGGCATTAGACCTGATTACAAATACCAGCAGTAAAATGGGGGCTTCCTCTGTATTTCTATCTAAGAAAATACAGGGAGCTGCTCTCTCTCGCCGGGGCCCTCCTGGATTTCATAAACCATTTGTATCCTGGGGACTCTCACATTCGTATTTCCAGCCTTGACCTTTCCCCTGAGCTCCAGGTATCCAACTGAGGCAGAGGTGCCCCAGTGAAGGGAGGAAAGCCCTGCGCTGAACTCGCCGAGTGGGTTCTTGGCTTTGCGCAGGAAAGAATTCGAGGTGAGCCGACCAGCAACAGAAAGTTTATTGAGATAGAAACAGACAATAGGTCCTACTGCACAGACAGAGTAGGGGTCCTCTCTGAGCAGGAGAGGGACCCCTTATTGTTATATTCGAGATTCTCAAGGACGCAGGACTGAGAGAGAGAGTCACTGAGGCTGTAATTATCAAAAGGAGTTTCATTGTCTAGCTTGAGCTAGGGTGCGAGCCTCCAAAATAGGCCAGCACAGTGGCCTATTCTTCAGGCAGGGACCCTCCTTTGTGTGCTAGTCCCCTTTTATAACTCAGTTGTTTATACACTGGTCATGCATCCGCCCCCACCGTGATTCTTACTTCATCCTGCCCCTGATAGGCTCTAACCTGTTCCGGGTCCTAGCTGAGAGACTCCGGTTTCCACATTCTTTGTCTTTTTCCTCTGCATCCCATAATATACTCATAATGCCTTGCCGTTAGCAAACAAGCAGTAAACAGAAGCTGGAAGGTGTCCATTGTCCTTATAGTCCAGTATCGTACACTTATGAGGAATGGTAACGTTTTTAAAAGTTCAAAAGCCATTTTGGGGCTGGGCACGGTGGCTCACGCCTGTAATCCTAGCACTCTGGGAGTCTGAGTTGGGAGGATCACTCAAGGTCAGGAGTTTGAAACCAGCCTGAGCAAGAGCGAGACCCCGTCTCTACTACAAATAGAAAGAAATTAATTGGCCAACTAATATATATATATAAATTAGCCGGGCATGGTGGCGCATGCCTGTAGTCCCAGCTACTCAGGAGACTGAGGCAGGAGGATTGCTTGAGCCCAAGAGTTTGAGGTTGCTGTGAGCTAGGCTGACGCCACAGCACTCTAGCCCAGGCAACAGAATGAGACTATGTCTCAAAAAAAAAAAAAAAAAAAAAGCCTTTGGTAAACAGCTGTACATTACTAGTATCATCTTGAGGTCAGGCCATAAAGGTTCATCATAAATTGCAATCACAGAAAGGTAAGCACAAACAATTTGTAAGGTAACCTGGCTTAGTAATTCATCCACCTTCAGGTGGTACTGGGCACCAACTTGCTGGCTCCTTCCTTGTTCAGGGTGTCAGGGTCTGGTATTGGTCAAAATGGCTGCACTTAGGCTCTCTTGACCTTCCTTTCCTGCCCTATCCCTACATTACAACCACCTACATAACATTTCTACCAGTATATCTGATATTCCTCTTAAACCATATTCTGGATTCTGCTCTGAGTAATAATGGTGCCATTGATGATCCTGGTGTACAGATCAAAATCCCTGCAGTCATCCTTGACTTCTTTCCTTCTCTCACACCCCACCTTCAATTCATCAGCAAACCCTTCCTTCTCTTCCTTCAAAGCATATTCCAGATCTGACCACTACTAACTACTTTCTAGACCATTGCTACCACCTTAGTCCACCCCGTCAACTCTCAGAGTTCCTAGAAGGAACTTTTCTTCCTTTCACACCTAGAATATTTCCCTGACCTCCAGACCTCATCTTGTGCCAGGCACACCTCCAGATCACAGGTGCCTGCCTCTGCTCCCTAGCAGGGGACAAGCAGAGTGACAATAGTGATAGGAGGACAGGGCTGTCCCAGGTAGAGTTCCTCAAGCAGCCACCCGAACACGCCCAGGTGCCTCTCACCCTGTCTCCCTCCCGTGCATCATCTCTGACTTTGAAATTCTCCAGGACCCATGCCCACCTGTTCTGTGACAACCTAATAAACCTTCATCAACCTAATCCCCCCTTTGTCCTTCAAGGGTACCTCACAATTTCTGGACCACTGATGGCACTCCTGCTTGCTTTCCTTTCCAGTAGAAGTGTGGATTCTCTTCATACAAACACATCCTTTGTGCCATTTCTAGAAATGCTGCAAAAGAGGAGACATAGATGTATGCTTAATATGACATCACTCACCGTGCTTCACGTTGAGCTCCATGCTCCGAGAACTTTGCACTCCTTGCAGCTGTCAAATGGGAGACGCCCTCTCTCTCTTTTCATGTTTGTCCTTTGCACATACTGTTCCCTCAAAACACAAGACTTTCCTTGCACCGTCACTGCCCAACAAACACACAGTTGCTTCGCCTGGTTAATTATTATTTCGCCTTGGGGTCTCAGTTAAGATGTTACTTCCGCTGGGAAGCCTTCTTTGACCTTCTTCTCCCAAGACTGAGTTAAGTGTCCCTCCCACTCTCCTCGGCTTAAGTATTGACTTTGGTGATTATCCATTGTTTAGATCCAGGCCAAAGTTCTCATTTTACATATTCCTCAGGGGAATAAATTAATTCCCAAAGGCAATGCTTACCCAAGGTTTCAAAGCCAATTAGTGACTGACCCTGGACTAGAATCCAGGTGTCTTTCCTTCCAGTTCAGTCCTTATCTTCAGCAACTGACCCAGGCGTTAGTACAGCACTGCACTTCTCAGATTTCTGGATCTAACCATCTGGCTTTTCTCCTCTATCTTCCTACCAGATTATTAGGTGTCACAGCAGTGCTTTCAGGGAGCCTGATCTTAACCATTCCTTGACCCCCTCCATATTTACCTCTATTCCATTGGTGGCTTCCAATCTGCCATTGGCCTAGAGAACAGACGATAAAATAGTTTATGTAATAAGAACCCAAAAGTCTGTTATTGAAGTGCATGGATTTCCGTGCATCTGTTTTGTGCCATCTAATCAGACTAATAGAGAATGCTTTAGAGCTTTCTTAGTATTAAATATTAGGCTATAAATTAGATATTGAGTTCCTAGATTATGAGTCAAGACTAGGACAAGGTCTTCTTTATGCCTTTATTCTCCCCTTCTTCGCTGCTTTGAACCTTTAAGACATTTTTAAAAATCTATATTCTTTCTTGTCATGCAGGATATGCACCATGTTGCTTCAAGACTCTGAAGTGCCATGCTGCCCAATGCCACATGACTGCTCAACAAACAAATAAAACAAGTTTATCACAGTTTGGTACATTTGTCTTATCAACTTATTCCAAACTGGAATAAAATTTAAGGTTAGAAAGACTGAGATAGGATAAAATATCACCCATCTACTACCAATAAAAAGCAACTATATATGTGGGATTAAAAGTATTATACACATGCAACACAAATGTGCACATAACAGAGCTTCTTGACTTGCTGTAACTCATCTCATCTTTATCAGAGTCCCCTCTCCATGAGGTAGGGGTGGCTGAGGTGGGAACTTAAGCTATTCAGAGTATCTTAGTTTCCTAGTTTCCTCTTGGTTTAAACAATCTCTCTCTCTCTCTCTCTCTCTCTCTCTCTTTGAGACAGAGTCTCATTCTGTCATCCAGGTAGAGTGCAGTGCTGTCATCTTAGCTCACTGCAACCTCAAACTCCTGGGCTCAAGTGTTCTTCCTGCCTCAGCCTCCTGAGTAGCTGGGACTAGAGGTGCACACCATGATGCCAGGCTAATTTTTCTGTTTTTAGTAGAGACAGAGTATTGCTCTTGCTCAGGTTGGTCTCAAACTCCTGAGCTCAAGCAACCATTCTGCCTTAGCCTCCCAGAGTGCTAAGATTACAGGTATGAGCCACCGCGCTAGGCTAAACAATCTCTTTTAGAAGCTATCTCTTTTGAGTAAATGCTCAGTGTCATGGTTTAAATGTGTCCCCTAAAGCTCGTGTGTCAGAAACTTAATCCACAGTGCAACAGTGTTAAGAGGTGGCACCTTTAAGAGGTCATGAATAGATTAAGATCATTATCACAGGAGTGAGTTATCATAAGAGTGAGTCTGTTACAAAAATGAGTTCAGCCCTCTCTTGTCTCTCGCTCTTTTGTGCACTCTCTTGACCTATGCCTTGTACCATGGGATGATACAGCGGGAAAGCCCTTGCAAGATCCCAGCACTATCCTCTTAGACTTTCCAGCCTCCAGGACCATGAGGCAAATAATCTTCTAGTGTTTATAAGTTACTCATTTTGTGACAATCTGTAGCAGATTGTGATAATAGCAGCAGAAAATGGACTAAGACACCCCCTATTCTGCCCCTCCCTCACCTTGGGCACAACTATACTGAGGTCCTCCACCAGCTGAGTCATGGCATTGGCTTCTGGGAAGCTGTAGCCCCTCCCTCCCAGGCAAAAAAAGCACCAGGGAGACTGGGGAGACTCTGCTTCAGTTGGAATCAAGAGTGGCTGAGCCCTCGCTCTGTGCCAGACACCATGTTAGCATCTGTCATGTCAGTTCTGCCAAACTGAGTGGGACACAGTCTCACCCATCAGAAACTCCTAGAGTGATTCTACTGGGAGTGATGACACTCTCACTCACACACACACACACACACACACACAGCTGGAAGGGATATAAGAAAAGCACAAAGTAACAGGGGAATTTAGAAGTGAGAAGTCACATTTAATCGGAGAAAAGCTTCATCTGTAAGACAGACCTATCTCTTTGTGACCTCTATATCAACAGAAGACAACATTTATGACACATCATCATTTTCAAAAATTGAGTCTCCTATATTGATTATGCCCATTACACCTGTCATCATGAAGAAATGCACTCAAATTTCCCAAGTTTATGTGAATCATGTACTTCATTTCCTAGGTAAGACACCTCAGTCAGTGTTTGATGAGACTGTCACAAAAAACCTGGGCTCCCAGCTGGAGGCTACCAGGGAATGCATTGACTAATCCTTATTATTTTATTTTATTTTATAAACACTTAGTATTTTTAATATTCCAGGTATTATTCTAAGAACTTTATAAATATTTACTCACTTAATCCTCACAAGCACCCAAAGGGAGGGTTCAATTACTATTCCCATTTTACAGATGATAAAACTGAGGTACAAATCAATTATATAACTTACCCCAAATCATATCTATAACACAAGGTGGGCCTGGGATTCAAGATCATGCAATCCATGCTCTAAACCACAACATTGCTTTTTGTTTGTTTGTTTGTTTTTGTTGTTGTTGTTGTTGTTGTTGTTTCGGAGACAGAGTCTCACTCTGTTGCCCAGGCTAGAGTGCCGTGGTGTCAGCCTAGCTCACAGCAACCTCAAACTCCTGGGCTCAAGCAATCCTCCTGCCTCAGCATCCCAGGTAGCTGGGACTACAGGCATGCACCACCATGCCTGGCTAATTTTTTGTATATATTTTTAGTTGGCCAATTAATTTTTTTCCATTTATAGTAGAGACAGGGTCTCACTCTTGCTCAGGCTGGTTTCGAACTCCTGAACTCAAGAGATCCGCCCATCTTGGCCTCCCAGAGTGCTAGGATTACAGGTGTGAGCCACCGCGCCTGGCCTACAACATTGCTTATTAACTTAATCACAACAGTCCTCTGGGGTTTGATCTATGATAGAAGATGATTTATCATGGGTCTCTCATGTTACTATAACTCTTTGAGCAGAGCCATGACTCTCTTTCCTCCTAACTATTGTTTTAAGGATGTTTGCATAGTGAAGAGCCTGTGGAAGACAGAGATGTTGTCTCCCTCTGGAGCAAAGGGCAGACATACTTCCTGACCATTATCAAAGATTTAGGCTCCATGAGCTCAGGATTCCTCTCCTGCAATGTCATCAACAGGTGTCATCTGATCTTTTTCACACCACCCGGTGGGAGTTGGGGATCAGAGGACTGGCATAAATGCTGACATTCTAGCTACTACTATAGCTGTGAGTGATAAAGTCCTTTGTCTCTGATCCAAGAGTCTTCTGTCTTCTGCCAGCAGCTATGAAACTGTGGTAGGTGAACTTGTTAGCTCATGAGTAGTGTAAAATCTTCACTGTTCTTGACAAGTTATATCTCCAATGTGAACACAGATCAGCTTCATAGAAAACCTTCGAAAGACTTGTTTGAGCCATGTCTTAAGTGGTGGAGATGAAGGGCTTCTGGCAGGAGAATGACACGTAAAGTTGGGAAAAAGGGGTATGCATGACACTTCAGGGGGTGGCTCCAACTTCCAGCCTATCCAGTAAGTTCTCCATTGGGGAGTGAACCTGTTTTTAGATAAGTCCCCTTCCATAGCTCCCAGGCTCTCTTTAGAAGCCACAACATGGTTTCATTTTTCTACTTTCTCAAATTGACCACCCATGAGCTAAGAAAAATCACATGCTGTAATTTTGATGCTTCCACAAACATCTCTGATTCCTGTGGCTCCTGGGTATCAGGCTTGCTGAGGATAAGCATCCAGGTTCCAGCAAGAGCTGATAAAGTCTGTGACAGCCAGGAAGCAGCCCTGTTCATCAGGGCACCAGGTTCTTCTTCATGCCGCAGGTGCACCTGTTGCAGTAAAACATCTTGGGGCTTAACTGATATCAACTGTTAATGGTAATGCCCACACTTAGGATATTGTATCCAACCTGACTGTGTAAAAAAAAATCTCTTAAAGATTAAAACCTCTAGCAATATTCTTATGTTTGATTTTGGGTTCCCCCAAGAAGCAGAGCCTGAGAAAAGGTGTCCAAGTTTGTTTTGTGCTGCTCTGACAGACTACTATGGACTGGATAATTTATAAGGAACAGAAATTCATTTGGCTCACAGTTCTGGAGACTGGGAAGTCTAAGATCAAGTGGTCTGCATCTGATGTGGCCTTTGTGCTGTGTTATCCATGGCAGAAGGCTGAAGGGTGAGAGAGAGGAGAGAGAGATGTTGAACTCACAGCCTCAAGAGCTTTTACAATCAGCATTAATCCATTCATGCAGGTGGAACTCTCACAACCTAAAACGTTTTTGCTGAGAGAGACAATATAGCTACCAGCCGGAAGCATCTCCACAGAACAGGACCTTTCCTTTTGGGGCCCTTCAGCTGACTGAGGGGTACTCAGATGGTGAGCTCCCTACCCACCAGCCCTCCCAGGTGCTGCTGGCCTGGTGATCCCAGGAGAATGGGGCCAGCGCCCTGAAGCTGAGAGCATCAACCAGCTTGGGTCCCCATGGGTGAATTAGGACTGGCACCTTTCCCTGGTGGGGTCAGGATTGACTCTGGGCCAGAGATCGGATCTGCAGACCAGATCCTGTACCCAGGTCCTGCATTGCCAGGCCACAGAAGGGATATTGTGAACCGAGCCTACTAAAGTGTGGTGTGCCTTCAGGGGCAGATCAGCGTCCTTAAGGGCAACTCTCCTCCGAAGGAGGGGCCGTGCATCTAGGCTAGGTGGCGAACCTGCACAGGGAACCTCCTGCCTGCATCACAGCCAGGGGAGACCCAGTGGGTGAGGTCTGGCCTCCACTGGCAAAGGCTAAGAGAAGCTTGGAGAGTTGGGGAGGGTGGAAAAGAAGTGGGCCCCACTCCAGACTGTGGGTCTCAGACAGCTCCACCTCCACATGCAGACTTTCTGACTGAGCAGGGCCATTCCAGCCCCTCCCTGACAGCTTTTCCCAGGAACGCAGAGAATAGAACTTGACCCTGTAACAGCATTTATGGTGCTTAAGGGCAGGCTTACCCAACCAGCTCCCTCCCAGACTCACTCCCAGATGAGCCCTCACTTGAGGGAGAGGAATAAGGACACATCTGGAAGTCCCAGGGCCCCACCCACAACCTGAGGCACTAGAGTGCCTCTCCAGAGGAACAAGAAGCCTGGTTACAGGACACAAAAACAACAGTGTAGCCTGAATCCTCCCAGCAAGCGCCACCTACTGACAGGGAGGACATTCTGATACACCTTTTACGGCATTTACTGACTCATCATGCAGGGGTGTAGTTAAATCTCACCACAAACACCACCTACTGGTCAGAGACTAAACAGGGGGTGTCATTATCCAAATGAAACCTAAAGGAAGAAGGAACAACTGATCCAGATGGAAGAAAATCAGCGAAGGAACTCTGGAAATATGAAGAACTCAAACAGAAAGCACCACCCACAAGAGGAACACCAGCCCCTTAGAAATGGACATCAACCAAATCACACCACTAAAATGACAGGAATTTTCAACGTGATCATAAGGAAAATTTCAATGACTTGCAAGAACAACTGGATAATACAACCAAAGAAAACGCAAAACGATTCCAGGGCCTGGAACAAAAATTCACTAAAGAAATTGAAATAATAAAGAAAAATAAAACAGTGCCTATTTGCAGAAATTATTACCACAACATCAAGAAGATGGAATTCACACCAACACATTTTATGAAGCGAATCATAACCCTGATACCAAAACCAAGAAAGATGCAACAAAAAGAAAACTACAGACCAATATCCTTATGAATATAGATGCAAAAATTCTCAACAAAATCCCTAGCCAATCAAATCCAGATGCTTGTCAAGAAAATAATCCATCACAAGCAAGTGGGCTTCATCCCAGGGATTGCAGGGATGGTTTAACCATACGCAAATCTATAAATGTCATTCACACATATAAACAGAAGCAAAAACAAAGACCATATGATCCTCTCAATAGACGCAGAAAAAGCATTTGACAAAATTCAATACCCTTTTATGATAAGAAGTGCTCAACAAAATAGGCAGAGACGGGGCTTACCTAAATATGATTACAAGTCATATAGACAAACCCACAGTCAATATCATAACTGGAATGAGGAAAAATTGAAAGCATTCCCGACATAGAACTGGAACAAGACAAGGTTGCCCACTATCTCCATCTTCTATTCAACCATAGTGCTGGAGGTCCTAGCTACAGCAATCAGACCAAGAGAGTGGAATTGAAGGGCGTTCCAAATGGCAGCAGAAGAGATCAAACTCTCACTCTTTGCTGGTGACATGATATTATACCTCGAAAAACCCCAAGGATTCAACCAAGAGACTCCTTGATTGGTAAACAAAATTTTGCTAAAGTCTCAGGATACAAAATCAATACACAGAAACCAGAGGCATTCATGCACTCCAACAACAGTAAAAGTGAGAACCAAATCAAGGACTCAATTCCCTTCAAAATAGCAACAAAGAAAATAAAGTACCTAGGAATATATTTAACTAAGGAGATAAAAGACCTCTACAGGGAGAACTATGAAACACTGAAGAAAGAAATAGCAGAGGATGTAAACAGGTGGAAGAACATACCATGCTCCTGTGTCAGCAGAATTTAACAATCAATTGTTAAAATGTCTATACTACCCAAAGTGACCTACATAGTCAATGAAATCCCTATTAAAATACCATCATCATTTTTCACAGATATAGAAAAAGTAATTTTACACTTCATATGAAACCAGAGAAGACCCTGTGTAGCAAAATCAATATTAGGCAATAAAAACAAAATAGGAGGTAACAATTTATCCAGACTGCAAACTATACTACAAGGCTATAGTAATTAAAACGGCTTATAACTGGCACAAGAACAGGGACATTGACCAGTGGAACAGAACAGAGAACCCAGATATAAAACCATCCTCATATAGCCAACTAATCTTCAACAAAGCAGACAAAAACATACACTGGGGAAAAGAATCCTTATTCAATAAATGGTGCTGGGAAAACTGGATAGTCACATGTAGAAGTCTGAAACAGGACCCACACCTTTCACCTCTCACAAAAATCAACTCACGCTGGGTAACAGACTTGAACATTAGGTGTGAAACTATTAGAATTCTAGAGGAAAACATTGGAAATACTCTTCTAGACATTGGCCTAGGCAAAGGATTTATGAAGAAGATCCTGTCTCCAGGATTGGTTAAAGGGCTCTAGGTCCAGACTTGGGGGATGCCTGGGACAGGGCTGTTCATGCCCAAGCTGGCACGAGGTTTTCAGTGACATCGCTCAGAATCTCCGTCACTTTCTCCCATACATGAATAGGGCTGGCATAAGCCAAAGATCAGTCGCAGGGGACAGAGAGAAGGAAGCTAAGGGGAAACACAGGGACAACCTGTGGCCTTCAACACTCACTTCCACGAGAAGAGGGCTCCACAGGGTAGCCGCCGCCGTCCTTTGTCCTTTGCCTGTGGAAGGCTCTCAGCATCCAGAAAAGGCAGACGTTTGCAGGCAAACGGCAGCAATCGCCTTCCGCCCCCGCCGACCACCCGCCCGCGTTCTGCTGTGTGTCTGCAGACCCCCTCGTGCGAACAGCTCCGTGACTTTGGCCATATATAGCACCGCCAGCTAAGCAATTGATTATTAAATATCTTTCTTCAAATAGAGTCCCTTTGCATACACATGTGTTTATTAACAAAGGAAATTTGGCCTCTTTACTGTAAATGCAAATATAATATCATTGGCCACCATGAAAACAAAACAGTGTTATTAAATTCCAGCCAAATCTTCTTGCCCACTGTGGACTGTGGATCTGAGGGCTGCTGCCACTCTCTGTTAAAAGATAGTCCCAGCTACTCGGGAGGCTGAGGCAGGAGGATCCCTTGAACCCAGGAGTTGGAGGCTGCAGTGAGCTGTGATGAGGGCACTGCACTCCAGCCTGGGCGACACAGCGAGGCTTTGTCTCAAAAGAGAGAGAGAGAGAGAGAGAGAGAGAGAGATAGTACTTGCTCTTTGATTAATCAGAAGGACTGAAACAGGCCTGGGAGGGGTGCCCTTCTCACTCTGTGCTTCGGACCTATCTCTGGGAGACGGTGGCCTCTGAACATTCTGGTTTCCCTGGCTCACTTCATGCTCCTCCACATCGCTGGCCAGGGCCCCACATGCCTAGAAAATTTGCAGCAGAAGCAGGTCAGCACCAGAGCCGAAGCCCTCCCAACCCCTGGGGGGTGGTCGGCAGGGGTAATGAAGGGAGGGACAAAGGGAACAAGACAGGATGAGGGAAAGGGAAGCACACAGAACTCACCACCGCCCCTCGCCCCTCTGAGAAGCTGCGAGAAGCTACAGCCTCCTCGCCTTGTTCACAGCAGGAGGAACTTTGAGCCCTATTGAACGCAGAGCCCTCCTGGCCGCCCTCCTGATTGACTGCCCCGATCCTGTCAGCACCGCCATTTGGACTCCCAATTTAAGCTGCAAAAAAAGATTTACCCTTAATTAAAAGCCAAGCTGACCTTTTGGAAGGCTTGTCTCTGGAAGAAAAGAACTGACTTTTAAAGTTTAATAATTCCTAATAAGTTCCATAACCATAAGACCGGTGTGTGCGTGCACTTGAATATCTGATGGCGCCCCCGGTAAGGATGTCATACAAACCCAGGTCACGTCTTCCGGAGCCCAGATGTGAGAGGAGCAGATGGGAGATGGCTGTGCACAGGGCAACCCAATGGCACCCCTGTTGACTTCAGGATTGCAGCTAGCCCTTGGGGGGCAGAGGGCGGTGGCAATTGCTTTGTGTCCCAAGAATCCACAGGAAAGACTGTGCAATGCAAGATGTTGAAGTGAGGGGGGCTGGGGCTGGTGGAGGAGCCTGAGGGTGGTGGGGTGTCATTTACCCTTGGGATCTATTCCCACACTTAGGGGGTTCTGCTTTATGTATTGATAAGAAAGCAGCACATTTCCAGAGAAAAAAGATAGTTTGGACTTACGAAAATCTGAGCCTCATTCTTACCTTTGAAATATGACTAGAAAAAGGCAGAGATAGGCAAAAATAGAAGCAAATATGTCTTGAAGACAAAAGTGGAATTAAAGGTTTCGTGTTCAGTGTATCTAACCAGACGTCAGAAGGATTTGGTTCTGCGTCCTGCCCGTAGGGTGGTTGTGACAGCGCAAATTA